CCCCCTGCGGCTCCGCGCCCCTGCGCGCATGCCACTGGGTCGCTGCGAGATGCGGCTGCGCCGGCTGCGGGGGTCGCCACGAGGAGGCCGCACGGTGAGGACTGCCTAGTGGGTCCGGTAGCCAGACGGAAGACCCAAAGTGGAGGGTCCAGCACCCCGGACTCCGTTCGGACCCAAAACCCAAACCTAGGCACATCCGGAACTTGGAGCTTGAATTTGGATTGAGAGAGTCCCAGACCTGGAACCTGAACCCCAAATCTTAAGACTGAGCGACCCCAGACCCAGCTTCATTGGGATGTCTGTGCAAGAGGTCCCGGGCATCCTGAGTTCTGTAGTTCTCCTTCTCCGTTCCCCAGGCATTCCCAGACTCAGCATCTCAGAGGGGCTGGAGAGTACACAGGCCCCCGAGAGATGCAAGACCCTGAACCCCAAACCGATCCAAACGACCAGCCCAGAGCCCAGTCATACCTGGCACCACAAACCCTCAGCTTACAGCCCCAGAATGAGTCGGGAGCCAATTCTTCACCCTGCTTGTTGCCGGTTACTACCAGATCATGAGACCTTAGGCCTCAGAATCACCCTCAAATGATTTCTTAGGACCTGGTGCACCCACAGCGGAGTTGTCCCTGGAGGCCTAGACCCCTGAAACACTTAAACCCTCCCGAGTCTAGGACTCTGATATGTTCTGGAATCACCAGGTGCTGGTCCCAATCTACTGGCCCACCTGAGTGCCCACAGACCCCCACAGACCTGGCCTCTAGTTCAGGAACACAGGTCTTGAGATGGCTGGGTCTCCCCACAGGACCTAGAGCCCCAGACTCTGAAGATGCACCGAGTCCTTGGCTATGCTCAAATATGGGATGCGCTTAGACGCAAATGGCTTGGGAGACCCACTCTGGAGTCTCGCAAGATCCATAGAGTAGAACTTCTGAGAGCCAGCGTTCTGAGACCTCCATAGACCCACCCACCCCCAAGCCAGTGTTCTCAGGAGCTTTGGATCGTGTAGGTAGGGCTCAGGTGCCTGGTACCGCCAGATGTTTGACTGAAGGCCGCCAGCACCTTGGGGCTCAAGACATTGCTGTTAAGTCCTTAAGTAGCCCTTTCCCAGTCCCCCTTAGACCTGGATTTTGAGACCCAAAATGTCCTGGAATCTTTGGCTTCCTTCTACCTAAAGACCCCCAGTTCCCTAAAGCCTTGGAGTCCAGCTCCCGGAAATGAGATGGTCACGCAATCCAGATCTCTGACCCCGTAGCCCCAGCCCCTCAGAGACCCCAGGTGCTTTAGGAAAGCACTGGATCCAAGACCCCAAGGTGCCATTGACCCCCAGATGCAGGGCTCAAGCCCCTACAACATTGGGATTTGTTCCTGATCCAAGGTTGGTCTCTCTATACCAGAGATATTCAGCTTCTAGGTGCCCCTAGGACCCCAGACCTAGCACCATCAGACCCTAGGTTTCTCTGGACTCAGCCCCAGCCCCGGAGATTCCTGTGCCTGTTCTCCTGTTCGTGTGAGACCTGCAGCCCCTTACATCCTGCTGTCCAGAGACTAAGGTCCCAGACTCTGGAATTCTACCCCCAGGACTCCAGCCCAGCACCCAGCAATCCTCAGAATTACTCCCTTTATCCTAGGGAGAAAACCCCACTGTCTCGAACCCATATTCCTGGATTCCAGGACCACTGGGCGCTTCCTCACCTCTAGGGCCCAGCATGGCTACAGATGATATGCAGGTGCCTGTCCACTCAGCACAGGCACGCAGCCCAGGTGACTGAAGGGCTCTCGGAGGACGGTACACATGGCGCTGATGTGCACCAAGGCACCATTTGGCCTGGCTATGGCTCTGCTGGGATCTGGTAATCCCCAGCCCCGCAGGCTCCTCCCAGCCCAACCTTCATTAAGTCCTACGCCTGGCCCAGGTCCCACCTTTTATGTTCTGCCTGCCCTTAACTCCTCTTCTATCTCAAGAGCTGGGGTTGCTTCAGAAAGTTCAAAAGTGTTTTTCAAGGCCCTCTGAAAATCCTGGTCAAGGAGACCGTGCAGTTCCTCCCCGCCCCAGTTGGAAGTGTACCTATGATCTAGTGTCCTGGGGGGCAGGGGGTCAAAGGCCTTGGAGGAGACAGCCTCAGTGTTTCATAGGCTTGCGATCCGCATCTGGCCCCCAGCATCCCGAAATGTGCACTTACTTTTCCTCGCTACCCAGATTTTGGATGGCCTTGTGGAGGTTCAAGGGATAGGTCCTTCTGTCACTTCCTTTAAATTATTAACTATTTATTACATCCGGAACCTGTGAGATTCAGCTCTCCCAACCAGACCCTGGGATGGGTGAGAGAAAAGAGGGGGATGTCCCTCCCATCCCCACTCTGCCCAGCTCTCATCACTGTCAAACCCACCAGAGCTGAGGGCGGAGGGACTGGGGGCTGGGGCAGCCTGGGTCCCCATCCCCCTCTCTGTGCCTCGGTCTCCCCCCTTCCGTGGTGGGCGGGGGGAAGCTCCATTCTTAACCTACCTCGTTTTGGGGAGGGGTGGGACGGGGACCAGAGTGCTGTCCGGTGCTGTGGGATCCACAGATAAAGCTGTGAGGGCCAGGGAGAAGTTCCTCTGGCCCCCACCTCCCAGCACCCCCTCTCCCAGGTCTCCCAGTCCTGCTCCCTGCTAACACCCACCTCTGATCCATGATTACCCTTCATCACCCCCAAAGCAGGGGTGCATGGAGGGCTGACCCTGGGAGCCAGGAAGACCTCAGACCCTGGAGCCCCCAGGCCCAGTGTCCCAGCTGCTTGCCCCTCGGATCGGATGCTTGGCCCCTAGACTCGGGGGAGTCACCCCAACATTTATCTTCCTGATCTTGATTCCAAGCCAGTCTGTGACCTCAACATTGTTAGCATCAATGCAGGCTGAAGTGGTGGGGGGAGGATGGGGGCCAAAACCCCATCTTGTCATCGGGGAAGGGGGCCTGAGATCCGCTCCAAGAAATGTCTGTGACAAAGTCTCAGCCTGTGTCCTTTATTCGCGGCGGCGCGCCCAGTCCCCGCTCCTTCCTGAGCTGCCAGGGTCTCTCCTACCTACCTTCTCCTTTCCCCGCCACACCCTTGGGTTCCAAGCAGACCCTCCAGCTGAGTCTTACACAGTCACTCGCCAAGAACAGTACTGAGTGCTCCTTACTGCGAAGCCCTGGGGACAGAGCAGTGACTACGAGAGACAAAAATCTCTTCTCACCAAGAGCTCCTGAACTCTATGGTGGGGGAGACTGTAAGCAAATGAGTTCATGTTAGGCATGATGGGCACTCTAAAGGGAAAAGGAAACGAGTGGGGGGAGAGGGGGGAGAGGGGATCGGTGGGTGGGGATGGAGGTACGTGCAGTTTTGGCCAGAGGGGCAGTTAGGCCTCACTTGGGCTGGCATTTGAATGAAGCCCTGAAGGAGGTGAGGGACCTGACCTGTGGGCGTCTGCAGGGAACAGCATTCCAAGTCAATGGAGCAGCCATTGCCTACCAGGGGGAAGGGTGTGTGCTAAGTCTGAGGAGCAGGAAGGGAGCTGGGATGTCTTCAGGGGAGGAGGGAAGGAGAGAGCAGGAGCCACACCCTTGGGTTCCAAGCAGACCCTCCAGCTGAGTCTTACACAGTCACTCGCCAAGAACAGTACTGAGTGCTCCTTACTGCGAAGCCCTGGGGACAGAGCGGTGACTACGAGAGACAAAAATCTCTTCTCACCAAGAGCTCCTGAACTCTATGGTGGGGGAGACTGTAAGCAAATGAGTTCATGTTAGGCATGATGGGCACTCTAAAGGGAAAAGGAAACGAGTGGGGGGAGAGGGGGGAGAGGGGATCGGTGGGTGGGGATGGAGGTACGTGCAGTTTTGGCCAGAGGGGCAGTTAGGCCTCACTTGGGCTGGCATTTGAATGAAGCCCTGAAGGAGGTGAGGGACCTGACCTGTGGGCGTCTGCAGGGAACAGCATTCCAAGTCAATGGAGCAGCCATTGCCTACCAGGGGGAAGGGTGTGTGCTAAGTCTGAGGAGCAGGAAGGGAGCTGGGATGTCTTCAGGGGAGGAGGGAAGGAGAGAGCAGGAGATGAGAGCGCAGATGTGACAGGGGAGAGCTGTGGGAACTTGCCAGCCATTGTGTGGACTGACTTTTTACCTTGGTTAAGACTGAAGCCCCAGGAACGCTCCAACCACCACGGAGGGCACTGACCTGACTCAGGGGGTCATAGGCTCCCTCTGGCTGCAGGCAGGCCACAGATAGAGTTGGTGAGGGGTAGGGCAAGTTGACCGAAGGCTACTGTGATGGTCCAGGGGAGACAGGGGTGGGTAGGACAAGGCTGCGGGCTGTGGAAGGGGGAGATGTGGGCGGGGCTGGATTTATATGGTGGGATTCTACACAAAGGGAGGAGTCAAGGTTATAAGTCCAAGTTTTGGGCTTGAGTAATTTTTTTAAAAAGTGCCAGAGCAGGGCTGGCAAGTGGTGTCATGGTTAAGGGTGCTGGACTCCCACATGGCCGATCACAGTTCGAGTCCCGGACCTGGTGGCTTGCTTTCTTTTTTTACTCTGTCCCTCTCTGGTCAAATTAAAATAAATTAATTAAAATAATTCTTTAGAGAAAATAAAAAGCCAGAGAGGAAGGGCGCAGCAGGTAGCATAGTGGGTAAGGCGTTGTACTCTCACGTAGTCAACTGCAATTTGAGTCTAGCAGGTAGCATAGTGGGTAAGGCGTACTCTCACGTAGTCAACTGCAATTTGAGTCCTGGACCCTGTGGCTTAAAACATGCCAGACACATGTATGTGTACCCTAAATCCCAAGAAGAGAATGGATTGTGGTGTGGCCATCCCCTCTGGGGAATGATTTCTCATTTTCTGTCTTTCTCTTTGTATCCCCAGTGAGCACACATGCCCTATAGCAAAAATCTTTCTCAAAAACGTAAAATGAATAAACGTGAGAGGGGGAGGGAGAGAGGCCATTTTTCTTTCAGGTTTATTTCTTCCATGAGATAGACAGGCACACCCAACAAGGTCCTCATGCCATAATCCATCCCCAGCCTCAGCCAGCCAAGGTCACAGGCATGCTTCCAGCGTATACAGGGAGACCTTGGGATTTGAACCCAGGGCCTTCACATGCAGCCTCAGCATCATGGAGTGTTGTGTTGCCTACCACCATGCCACTGCAGCTGGCTGAAAGAGACTTTTTTCCCTTGAGAGAGAGGCACTGCCAGCAGTCTTCATGCTGCGATCCACCCATAGTCTCTAGGTCAGGGGTGCCTGCCCAGTGTGGGAGCGGGGCAGTGGGAGGGGATGCGAACTCAGGCCCCTTCCCACACAGGTCCAGTTGTATTACCACTGTGCCACCACCTGGTCCCTGAGATCGGCATTCTTGACGGGGCCTTGGCATGTCACAAGGCTCTGTTCCGATCTCCTGGTTAGCTAGGACTACAGATGTGTGCTACGGTGTCTGACCTGTTTAAATCAGTAGGGAACCAAACCTGGGCCTCCCATGCAGCTCCAGCCTCCATAGCAATGCCCTACTGTTTGCACCACCTGGGAGCAATTTTTAAAAAATCTTAATTATTTGCTATAGGGTGGGTGCACTCACCAGAGAGAGAGAGAAAGTGAGAAAGCACCCGCAGAGGAGATGGCTGTGCCACACTCCCTTCTCCTCTCAGGATGTTGAGCACGTGCACACGTCAGCACACTTCTCAAGCCACTGAGTCTGGGACTGCAACCGTGAGGTCGGCCATGGGAAATCCAGCTGCCTTCCCCACCATGCAGGTCAACACATGGCCCCGTGTGCCCTGCCTTGGGTAGACGGGACTACTGAGAGACTAGATCAAGGATACGCTCTGCCCCTGGGGAATGAGTTCTGGCCCTTGTTCTCCGCGGAGGCTTCCTCCCCTCTCCCCAGAAGCATTACCTAGGAACTACTGGAGGTCAGAGCTAGAGCAATTTTTTTTTTTTTTTGAGTCCTGGACCCTGTGGCTTAAAACATGCCAGACACATGTATGTGTACCCTAAATCCCAAGAAGAGAATGGATTGTGGTGTGGCCATCCCCTCTGGGGAATGATTTCTCATTTTCTGTCTTTCTCTTTGTATCCCCAGTGAGCACACATGCCCTATAGCAAAAATCTTTCTCAAAAACGTAAAATGAATAAACGTGAGAGGGGGAGGGAGAGAGGCCATTTTTCTTTCAGGTTTATTTCTTCCATGAGATAGACAGGCACACCCAACAAGGTCCTCATGCCATAATCCATCCCCAGCCTCAGCCAGCCAAGGTCACAGGCATGCTTCCAGCGTATACAGGGAGACCTTGGGATTTGAACCCAGGGCCTTCACATGCAGCCTCAGCATCATGGAGTGTTGTGTTGCCTACCACCATGCCACTGCAGCTGGCTGAAAGAGACTTTTTTCCCTTGAGAGAGAGGCACTGCCAGCAGTCTTCATGCTGCGATCCACCCATAGTCTCTAGGTCAGGGGTGCCTGCCCAGTGTGGGAGCGGGGCAGTGGGAGGGGATGCGAACTCAGGCCCCTTCCCACACAGGTCCAGTTGTATTACCACTGTGCCACCACCTGGTCCCTGAGATCGGCATTCTTGACGGGGCCTTGGCATGTCACAAGGCTCTGTTCCGATCTCCTGGTTAGCTAGGACTACAGATGTGTGCTACGGTGTCTGACCTGTTTAAATCAGTAGGGAACCAAACCTGGGCCTCCCATGCAGCTCCAGCCTCCATAGCAATGCCCTACTGTTTGCACCACCTGGGAGCAATTTTTAAAAAATCTTAATTATTTGCTATAGGGTGGGTGCACTCACCAGAGAGAGAGAGAAAGTGAGAAAGCACCCGCAGAGGAGATGGCTGTGCCACACTCCCTTCTCCTCTCAGGATGCTGAGCACGTGCACACGTCAGCACACTTCTCAAGCCACTGAGTCTGGGACTGCAACCGTGAGGTCGGCCATGGGAAATCCAGCTGCCTTCCCCACCATGCAGGTCAACACATGGCCCCGTGTGCCCTGCCTTGGGTAGACGGGACTACTGAGAGACTAGATCAAGGATACGCTCTGCCCCTGGGGAATGAGTTCTGGCCCTTGTTCTCCGCGGAGGCTTCCTCCCCTCTCCCCAGAAGCATTACCTAGGAACTACTGGAGGTCAGAGCTAGAGCAATTTTTTTTTTTTTTTGAGAGCTATTTTTGCTCTAGCATACATGGACTTGCTGGAGATACAGAGAAAGACAGACAGAAAGTGAGAAATCGCCCCCCGGGAGATGGCCATGCAGTAATCCCTTCTCCATTCTCCTCTTGGGATTTCGGGCATGCACATAAACACACCTGGCGTGAGTTTCAGGCCTCCAGATTTGGACTCAAAACGTGGTTGGCCATGTGGGAATCCAGCAACATAACCAGTACGCCATCTGCTGGCCCCAAACAATTGTTTTAAAGAATTAGTTTATTTAATGTTATTATATTATTATTATTTTGACCAGAGAGAGAGGGAAAGTGAGAAAGGAAGCCACTAGGTCCAGGACTTGAACCACAGTCCAGCTCCCTAACCACCACACCACCTCCTGGCTCCTCAATTATATTTATTTATTTATTTATTTGTTTATTTATTTATTTATTTATTTTTGAGAGTTTTTTTTGTTATAGGGCACATGTGCTCGCCAGAAAGAGACAGAAAGAGAGCAAGAATCACCCCCAGGGGGATGGCCACACCACAGGCCCTTCTCCTCCATTCTCCTCTTGGGATCTTGGGCAAGCACACACACGTGCCTGGTGTGAGTTTAAGCCACCGGGTCCAGGACTCGAACCGCGATCAACTACATGGGAGTCCAGTTACATAGCCGTTCCGCCAACTGCTGGTCCCTCAAACTATTTTTAATAAAAGCTAAAACAGGGGCCAGCAGGTTAGGTGTGGTGATTAAGGTGGTGTGGTGGTTAAGGTGCTGGACACTCCTGTATGGCCAACTGTGGTTCAAGTCCCAGACCTGGTGTCCTGCTTTCTCACTTTCCCTCTCTCTCTCTGGTCAAATTAAAATAAATGAATGAATAAATCAAATTAAATAAATAAATGATTCTTAAAAAACAAAACAAAACAATAGCAGCAGTAATAAGAGTAGCAATAGATTCAATGAGTGAAAAACATGGAATTTTGAATTAGATCTTTGAGCCCTAGCACCACTATGAATTTATTCCGTGACTTATCCTCTTCGAACCTGTGTTCTTCTCACTTGCATACACTAGTTGTTCAATACATGTCAGTTGTTATTCCTGACTGAGTATCACCACTATGGTTTCAACGTGTCCCCCAAATTCATGTACTGAAGTTTAGTTGTGATGGTATTAAGAGGTGGAAACTTAAGGCCAGAGGTGGGGTGAAGGTTAAGGTGGCTGGATCCCATAAGGCCAACTCTGTAGTTCTAGTCCCAGGCCCAGGGACTTGAAAATCATGCCTGTAGTTATAGTCCCAGGCCCAGGGACTTGAAAATCATGCCGAGTGCATGTGCATGCACATCCAAAGTCCTGGGAGGAGAATGGCAAAGGGATTGCAGTGTGGCCACCCCCCTTAGCCCCCCCCACTCCCACCCCCCCCGCCGGGAGGCATTTTCTCACTTTTGCTCTCGGTCTCTGGTGAGCACATGTGCCCTATAGCAAAAATGGAAATGTAACCCAACTATGGGGATTTGGGAAGTGATTAGGATTCGATTAAGTCATCATTGTAGGGTCCCATGACTGAGTCTGGTGGCTTTATAAGGAGAAGGAGCAAGTCCAGAACACAGACCAGGGACCAGCAGATGGTATAATAGTTCTGTCACTGGCCTCTTATGTATAGTCAACCACAGTTTGAGTCCTGGACCCGGTGACTTAAAACTCAGGCCGAGGGCATGCGCGTGCGTGCCCAAAGTCTCAAGAGGATACTGGAGGAGAAGGGATTCCAGCATGGCCATCCCCCCTGAGGTGATTTCTTGCTTTCTGTCTCTCTCTCTCTCTCTCTGGTGAATGCATGGGTCCTATAGCAAAAATTTATCTAAAAATAAAAACCCACAGACCAGACATAGACATATGGAAACTCGCCATGTGATACAAGAATGCTGCTTTTGGACTCTATAGAGAGTCCCTACCCACAAAAAGTCCTTTACTAGATGTGGCCCTTTGGCTTTGGACTTTCAAAACAGTGAGCTAAATAACCTCTCTTTTTTTTAAAAAATATTTTTTATTTAACTTTATTTATTTGTATATTTATTTATTTGAATTTGACCAGAGAGGGACAGAGTGAGAGAGAAAGAGAGAAAGTGAGAAAGCAAGCCGCCAGGTCTGAGACTTGAACTGTGATCAGCCACTTGGGAATCCAGTGCTCTTAACCACCATGCCACCTGTTGGCCCCAATAACCTCTCTTTTTAAAATTATTTTTTATTTAACTTTATTTACTTATTTTAATTTGACCAGAGCGGGACAGAGAGAGAGAGAGAGAGGGAAAGTGAGAGAGAGAAGGGAAACAAGAAAACAAGCTGCTGGGTACAGGACTCGAACCATGGTCAGCTACACGGGAGTCCAACCACCCTAACCACCACATCACCTGCCAGCCCCAATGGACGTCTATTCTTTATAAATTACTCCGAGTCTATTGAGTTTTTAGCAACAGAACAACAGACCTAAACAACCTCCTATATGTACTTAAAAAAAAAGGCATTATTTTATATATTTTTGATTTGACCAGGAAGGGAGGGGGAGAGACGAGAGAGAGAGAGAGAGAGAGAGTAAGCCACCAGGTCCAGGACTCGAACCTCTATCAGTCATGTGGGAGTCCAGTGCCTTTAACCACCACACCACCTGCTGGTCCCACCTGGCCACTCCTCATGTATGCACTTTTTTTTAAGGGTGCATGTGCTCGCCAGAAAGACAGAGACAGAGAGACAGAAAGCAAGAAATCACCCCCCAGGGGGGATGGCCACGCTGCAATCCCTTCTCCTCCATCTTCCTCTCGGGATCTTGGGCATACATGCACACACGCCTGGCATGAGTTTAAGCCACCGGGTCCGGGACTCAAACCGGTCGACTACATGGGAGTCCAGCGACATAGCCATTACGACATCTGCTGGTTCCACATTTATGCAGTTTTACATACAGGACTTTAATGAATATGAACAACTCTGAGGCAGGACCTGTTATTATCCCCATTATGCAGACAGGAAGCAATTTAGCAGGAACAGAATACAGAAGAAAAACAGCTGGTGAGTGGCGTAGTCAAACCTCACCCTCGTCTGCCCTACTCCTAGGGTGCAATCTCCTAATCATGATGGTGTATTGCACCTGTTCTCTCCCTCCAAGGCCTTGGGAGGGAGAGGGTGAAGGCCTAATGGACACATTGTAATTTATGAGAAGGGCCTAGCTGGGAGAGGGGAGTGGACGTGAGGGGGAAACCGGGATTCCTTGGGCAGCTGACTATCCCTGCCCTAAGGCGGAAGGAAGCATTTCTGGATTTAGGGCAGAGTTGGGTGAACAGCACTTAATGTGGGGTGCTTTAAGAATAGAGGGCGGGATCAGCAGGTGGCCTGGTGGTTAAGGTGCTGGACACTCCCACATGGTCGACCACAGTTCAAGCCCCGGACCTGGTGTCTTGCTTTCTCACTTTCCCTTTCTCTCTGTCTGTCTGCCTCTGGTCACATTAAAATAAATGAATGAATAAATAAAAAAATGAATGAATAATTCTTAAAAAAAAAAAAAGAATAGAGGGAAAGTGAGGAAAAGAAAACACGACAGTAGCTTTTACATAGCCAGGGAACCGACCCCGGCACACCCAGACTCTTGAACACAACTCCAGACTTTACAACGCTAGGGGGCGTTCCCCAACCATGACAGATAATTGAAGGGCGGTACGGGCGGGCCTGAGGGCGGGCTCTGCCGCCTTCTGCACCAATCAGGGCGCCGGAGCTCCTTCGCGAGAAGAGGCTGATTGGCCGTGACGACAGGCAGGCGGGGCCCAGAGCGCACCACGCTCCTCCGGCAGAGCCTGCAAGCGGCCGGCAGGGGGCGCGCGCCTGGCCAAAGGCGAAGCTTCATGGAGGAGGCGGAGGTGCAAGAGGACGCCGCGGTGGCCCGGGACCTGCTGGCATTGGGGTAAGACGGGGTGCGGTGTGGCCGCGGGTGCAGGAAGGGCGGGATTGCCCTCAATCCCTACGAAGAGGGATTCTGACAGACTTCCTCCCCCTCTGCCTCGGCCCCGCCATAGGTACGTGGGTTTCCCGGGGGCGGCGTCGTGGGGCACGTCCTGCCCAGACTTCAGGACGCTGTGCGCGCGGCTGG